CCTGTCTGTTTCTTTCTGCTTCTTGGCCCTATGTCTTTCTCCATGGGGGTTTCACTCTACCTGACTCCCCTTACCCCTCACCTGTCTTTCTTCTTTGGCACATCTCTTTTTCTATTCATCTCCTTCCCAGGAGTCACAGTGAAACTGGTGCCCTCCACCATGCCCTGGTCTCCCTGCCATTGGCGGCTTCTGCCCCCTCCCCGGAATAAGAGATGAAGGGAGAAAGTGATGAATTCCATGGGGGGGAGGACAGAGAGTTCTCAAATCCTTCTGCGGCACCCAGTTAGGCCCTCTAGTATGGCCGAGTAAGACAGGTTGGGACCCCAGGGCCCTCCTTTTCTGGCTCCCCACCCATCCGGAAGTCCTCCTTGAGGTCTGACCTCAAGCACTCTTGCTGCCCTAATCCACCCTAGGCTTTCCCACGCCCCAGGGCTGGGATGAACCCCCAGTGTCCGGGTCTGAACCGGATCTTCCCCTCCAGGGTGGGGCTGAAATTGGGGGGAAGCCCTCGGGGGACCGGCACCCACACACCTGGAGGCTGGAATTTCTCCTCTTTTATTTCCTTATTGTCTCTGGAGAAGGGCGTGGCAGAGAGCAGAGGAGGGCAGTGTGAAGCCAGAAGCCTCAGTTCCAGTCCCAGACCCAACTCCGGACCCCAATGCTTTGCGGGGCTTCAGGCTTTCTATGTCAACAATGGGGGAGCAGTTGGTCCAGCAGGTTGGTAAGAACCTGAGCCCAGCGGGCAATGCTCCAGGATTACAACCCTCCAAGCCCCCTCCAGCAGCCAAGGGTGCTGTGAACAAGTGGTTTGGGGAACTCTCTCAGCAATGGGGGAGCAGTTGGTCTAGCAGGTTGGTAAGAACCTGAGCCTAGCGGGCATGCTCCAGGATTACAACTCTCCAAGCTCCCTCCAGTAGCCAGCCAAGGGTGCTGTGAACAAGTGGTTTGAGGAACTCTCTCAGCTATCAGTTGCCGGTTGATATTTCTCTCCCTTTTTCCAATCCAAGGGGAAGAAGTGGGCTCCCCCGACGGGAAGGAGGTGAGACCCTTAGGCAGTATCCCCAAGCCACTTCCAGCCCTCTCCTATAGTGACTATTCCAAAACATGCCCCCAAATGCTAATCATCTCACCGCCCTCCATTTCTGATGCAATTTCCATACAAATTGTCCCCTAAACTTGAACTCATTCAGAACGTGCCCCAAATATCAACTCCTCCTCTCTAGACCCCTACAATTTACTTTTTTTTTTTGAGTTGGAGGCTCTATTGCCCAGGCTGGAGTGCAGCAGTGGCCTGATCACAGCACACCACAGCCTTGACCAGAGCTCCAGCCAGCCTTCCGCCTCAGCCTCCTGAGTCAGTGGCCTGATCACAGCACACCACAGCCTTGACCAGAGCTCCAGCCAGCCTTCCGCCTCAGCCTCCTGAGTAGCTGGAGTATAGGCTTGTGCCACCATGCCCAGCTTATTTTTTTTTTATTTTTAGTCGAGACGAAGTCTTGCTATGTTGCCCAGGCTGGTCTTGAACTCTTGGACTGACCCTCCCAAAGTGCTGGGATTACAGGCATGCACCACCACACCTGGCCATGATTTCTTTCCTTTTTTTTGAGTCACAGTCTCACTCTGTCCCCCAGACTGGAGTCTCACTCCGTCCTGCCTGCTGGGCTCAGGCGATCCTTCTGCTTCAGCCTTCCAAGTAGCTGGAACTACAGGCACCTGCTACCACATCTGGCTAATTTTTTTTTTTTTAATTATTACAGCGAAGAGGTCTCACTGTGTTGCCCTGTCTGGTCTTGAACCCCTGGGCTCAAACAATCCTCTCACCTCTGCCTCCCAAAGTGCTGGGATTACAGGTGTGGGCCACCGCACCTGGCTCACAACTTATTTCCTAAGATGTGCTCCTAAAACACTTATTTGTAGTTGGTTCCCTTAAATCACGTCCCCAGACTCTGAGTTCTCCGGGGATTCGGCTGGGATCCCCCCATTACTTGGGAGCCTCTGCCTCCCACCTTGGTCTCTGCCTTTCCCATCTTATAACCAATACCTCCAGCCACCCCACGGCCACCTCTCAACACTTCCATCCCCAGTTGGCCCTGCCCCACCCTACGAACACCTCACACCTCCCCAAGCCCAGGCCTGGCCCCTCTTGGGCACCTTGCCAAAGCCCCACAAGCCTGGGGATCCCGGAGTCTCACACTACAGCTTCAAACCCAGGTCTTGACTCCTTCGGGAAGCCAGCCATTTCAACCCCACATCCTCACCTCAAGCCCCCTTCCCAGTTAGGAATTCAAGTGTCCAGACCCCTATAACTCTCAAACTGCAACTCCCACCATCACAATGTTCTTGCAGCAGGAGGATGGAAATTGGACTTCGGGAAGGACTTTTTATCTGCTGGGGTGAGGGAATTAGGATAACCCCAGGGAAGCCCTGTCTGTGGGGCGACTAGCTAAAGACTTTAGCAATTGCTGGGGGTGGCTGGATGCCGGCGTCAGGGAAGTGCACAGTCAGAAACCCTCCAGCTTCCAACGTGGGGGGGTCCCTGCTGAGGGTCATGGGTAGGAATGGGGAATGGAGGCTGACCCCTTTCCTGCCAATGCGGATGCTCACGTCTCCTGCTCTCAGGTCCCCAGCTCTGACCCCATCAGGGCCCCCATCTACCCGAGCCCCAACTCTAAGCCACCTGTTGTTTCAGTCTCCAAAAACTAAGCTTCATCTCTGAGCACCCCCATCTCGTAATTACCCCCGAGCGCCCACCCCTATCTTAGATCGCCAGCTAATCCTTGCCCCCGGACCCCAATTCCGATCTCCACCTCCACCACTCCCATCTTTGTTAACCCTGAGCTCCCACCTCTGACTTCCCTTGAGAGCGACCCCTCCTCCACCTCCTAGTCCCCGTCCTTCCCCCCAACTGTGAACCCCGCGTCCCCAGCTCTGTCCTCTACCCCGGAGCTCGGGCTCCCGTCTTTGGTCGGTTCGTTTCAAACCCTCGCATTTGGAGGCCCCAGACCCAGACTGGACCCTTGCCTACGTTCCCCCGACTTCCATGGACGCCCCCCGCGACGACCCGCCCCGTCCCCGTCCCCCGCACCTGGTCGCCGCGCCCCTCGCTGCTCAGCTCCCCAGCACGATGCCTCTGCCCCTTGCGAGCCCGCGCCCAGCCCCCGCCGCACCGAAGCCCGCACCCCGATACCCGCTCCCCGAGGACACACACCTCGCCCGCCTCGGGGTAGTAGCTCCACTCGGCCAGGTCGTGGGCCTCCATCTTCACCGAGCCCAGCATCCCCCGGGCCAGCGCCCCCACGCGCCCCCGCTCCGGCCCCGGGGGACCCGAGTGCGTCGGCCGCTCC